GGCCTGACCCACACTCTATTCTGGTGCTCTGATTCACCAGCGGTTGATGTGAACAGGTTCAGCCTGGTCTACCCCCTAACTATGCCAAATATATGCTGGGGGGGTTCTTCCTCTGGCCTGGTCTGGGTTGCTCCCTATCGCACACACAACTTTTAGTGGCACAAAATAAGAAGTATTTTTTAAAAAGATTTATTTTATTTTTATTGGAAAGGCGGATATACAGAGAGGAGAGACAGAGAGGAAGATCTTCCGTCTGATGGTTCACGCCCCAAGTGAGCGCAACGGGCCGATACTATGCCGATCTGAAGCCAGGAGCCTCTTCCGGGTCTCCCACATGGGTGCAGGGTCCCAAAGCTTTGGGCCGTCCTCGACTGCTTTCCCAGGCCACAAGCAGGGAGCTGGAAGGGAAGAGGGGCCACCGGTATTAGAACCGGCGCCCATATGGGATCCCGGGCATGCAAAGCGAGGACCTTAACCACTGCGCCACCGCGCCGGGCCCAATAAGAAGTATTTTAAGAAGTAACAATGGGAGCCCAGTGCAGTGGTTCATATGGATCCAATATGGGCAACAGTTCATGTCCAGGTTGCTTCACTTCCCATCCAGCTCCCTGCTCATAGCCGGAGAAAACAGCAGAGGATGGCCTTAGGACCCTGCATCCATGTGGAAGCTCCTGGCTCCTGGCTTCAGATCGGCTCAGCTCTGACCATTGCAGCCATTTGGGAAGTGAGACAGCAGAAAGAAGTCTTTCTGTCTCTCCTCTGTCTGTAAATCTGCCTTTCCAATAAAGATAGACACATCTTGAAGAAGAAGAAGAGAAAGAACAGGAAGAAGAGGAAAAAGAAGAAGGAGGAGGAGTAACAAGGGGGCCAGTGTAATGCCATGGCAAACTAATCTTCCACCTGCTAGCATCCTATGGGGCATCAATTCAAGTTCTGGCTCCTTGTTTCCCATCCAATTCCTTGTTTATGGCCTGGGAAAGCAGCAGAGGATGGCTCAAGTTCTTGGATTCATGCACCCATGTAGGAGACCTTGAAGAAACTCCTGGCTCCTAGCTTTGGATCAGCTCAGCTCCAACCACTCTGTCCCTCTCTCTTTGTAACTCTGACTTCCCATGTAAAATAAGTAAATCCTTCAAAAAATAAATAAACAAACAAACATGGAGCCATCTCCAGGCACAGAAGCAATAAGAGAAGAAAGAGTCATGGGTTCTAGCCTATTCTTGGAGTGTTTGTCTGCGATACAGACCTTAGTCTTGGAAACTGGCCTTTTTTTTCCCCCAAATTTCGTTTATCTTTAAATGGCCGCAATAGCCAGAGCTGATCTGATCCAAAGCCAGAAGCTTCTTCTAGTTCTCCCATGTGGGTTCAGGGTCCCAAGGCCTTGGGTCATCTTCCACTGCTTTCAGGCCTCAGACAGAGAGCTGGATACGAAGTGGAGTAGTCAGAACACGAACTAGCACCAATATGTGATCCTGGCATGTGCAAAGCGAGGATTCTAACCACTAGGCCACTATGCAGGACCTGGAAGCTGGTCTTACAGCTTCCATGGGACCAGAAAATCCAGGCTACATGAAGTCCTCTCTGTTTAGAAATCTCCAATTAATAGAATCTCTGATTAGATGGATTAGATTGCTCACGAGAGACAGGAATCAGATGATCAACCATAATGTTCAAATAGGGAAATGAAGAAAGGTTGGCAGAGAACTGTTGGTAAGGAAAGGAGACCAAGGGCCTAGAGGTTTCTGGGGTCCTATCTCAAAGGCCAATGTTTGAGTGAAGGGAAAAATTGCCCGAAGATACTGACAGCATATTTCAAACTATCAAATGCTAGGAAGAAAAGAAGCAAGTCCCAGGAGTACAAACCAGCTGGGAATATACATTGTCGCAGCTGGATCATATTCCCAGCATGCAAAGGATAAAGTAGGTGGTGGAGGTATACATTCCTGATTTGGTTGATTTGCCAGCTATAAGGGGCTCCTGGAAGACTTGCTTATTGAGGATTGGTTAACCCTGAGTGATCCCTGCTAGGTTGGAAAAGCTCCAGATGTTAAAACATCAGGGTAAAGAAAGAAAAATACATAGTTAACACAGTGCTCTATGCACAAGGATTATCTACAATGGATTTGAAGGTCAACAGAGTGGTGTCTCTGATTACAAAACTAGAACTGCCAGAGCAGAGAAATTATAAATTGTAGGGAAACTGGTTGCCAACTAGAAATATTTCTAAACTTCTCAAATCGAATGATTATCATATTTATGAACCCCAATGAAAATAAATCACATTAATGTAGCCAAGTCTTGTTATCATATATAAAACCAGATATTATGGTTGATGCAATTTATCCCAACAGCCACTAGATGACACTATAGCTTATTGCTCATAACACTTCAACTCACTTGAATTATTCAGGCCTTTTTTAAAGTAAAACATGGCTTTACAGCTAGCTCTTAATAATTCAAAACTCTGATGTCTTCAGAATATGCAAATATACTGCTGCTTCTAATCCTACATTTATAATTAGAACTTTGCTAACGTCTAACCCAAATTTCTAGAAGAGTATCCGTGTGTGACTGCATATGCCCACATGACTTCCTGGGGAAAGACGGTCCAGAGCTCCTCTGAGGGCTCTACAATTCTCTTTGGTCTTCCTTCCCCACCAAGAACAAGGTCAAGCACCAACAGCTGGTCCCTAGTTAAGCATACCTGTTTGAATTTTGCCTTTCTGAGTTCCTCTCTAAATGACTTCAAAACCAATGAAAAAGGCTTCCCAGATGCTACATTCGGAATAGCTTACAAGATACTGCGTTTGGAACCTTAGGATTTTTCAGCCCAGCTAGTAAGAATGGAACAATAACCGATTTTTAAAACCAGGATTGGGTGGCTACAAGTCATAGCAGATCTAGGAAACCAGATGCAACAACTGCAGAGGGAAGCAGAGAGATCTGGGCATTGAATGCTGCCAAGGATTACCTTTCTTTACAAGTGGACACAGAGCCAAGAAGCAAGAAATCATATCAGGAAGTAGGGCAACAATCGCAAGAGTCAGCAACCTGGAGGCAAGCAGCTGAGAGCAAGGTCCTAAGCAGTACTTGCACCAAAGGGATACTAGGGATAAGTTCATTCAGAAAAATAAGCACTAATAGGGGTCAATGTGGTGACTCAATGGACTAGTCCTCCACCTTCTAGTTCCAGCATCCCATATAGATTCCAGTTTGTGTCCCACTTGCGCCACTGCCCATCCAGCTAATGGCCTAGGAAAGCAGTAGAGGGCAGCCCAGAGCCTTTAGACCCAGATGGGAGACCTGAGAAGAAGCTCCTGGCTTTGGATCAGCTCAGCTCTGGCCATGGTGCCATTGGAGAGTGAGCTAGCAGATGGAAGATGTTTATCTCTCTGTCTTTCCTTCTCTGTAAGTCTGCCTTGCAAAGAAAAATGTATTTTTTTAAATGAGCAAAAATAATGGAGAAGGAAGATAGTGACCATTTATATAACCATAAATTGTAGTATGCGAAAGTGTGACTTGACCAACGGAATTTTAGTGTTGGTCTCGGGCTCTTATTTTCATGCCACAGTAGGACAAAAACAATAAGAAGTGCTACATCTCAAACTCAATGAGTCCCCTCAATGAGGCTTCTGCATCCAGTTCCAACATGGAGGTAGGTTTTCCTGTCCACACTGGTGGCCCCTGACAACAGCTGCTTCCCAGCCCCACCCCAGCTCTGACCCACACTGTGGATCCCTTGAGGCCAGGCGTACCTTCCAGTTGGTTTCTCCTGGGACATGAGCTGCACCAGTTTACTTCACAGGAATTCTGTAGTTTCACTCCCTGTTGCATAAGAGGCAAACCATGATACCTGTTGATGAAATGATGCCAGGAGATCCTTTACTCTTCCGTCCTGCATCATACCCTTTATCTTTTTCCCTGCTACCCCATGACAGCCCAGGCTCAGCTACCGTCACCTTAACAATACATGATCCCTGTCAAAGTGAAAAGAACTCGGGGTTCCAACTGTCAAAAAAAAAAAAAACTGAAAATCTTCTACTTCATTAATATTTAAGGCTTTTTAAAAAAAATTTGACAGCTGAATGAAATAATCAGTCAAAATAAAAGGTACATAGTAGGTACATTATTTTACAGATAAGAAAATTAAGGTTTTAAGAGTTTTAAGTAGGGCCTGGCATAGTGGCCTAGTAGCTAAAGTCCTCACCTTGCACACACTGGGATCCCATATGGACGCTGGTTCTAATCCCAGCAGCCCTGCTTCCCATCCAGCTCCCTGTGTGTGGCATGGGAAAGCAGTCGAGGACGGCCCAAAGCCTTGGTACCCTTCACCCACGTGGGAGACCTAGAGAAGGTGCCTGGCTACTGGCTTCACATGGCGCAGCACTGGCCGTTGTGGTCACTTGGGGAGTGAGTCATTGGATGGAAGATCTTCCTCTCTGTCTCTCCTCCTCTCTGTATATCTGACTTTGTAATAAAAATAAATAAATCTTTAAAAAAAAAAAAAGCTTTGAGTAACTTCTCCAGGGTCATAAGGCTACTAAAGTGAAAAAGACAGGGTTTATTTATTTATTTTTTTTAAGATTTATTTTTATTATTTTTTCATTGGAAAGGCGGATATACAGAGAGGAGAGACAGAGAGGAAGATCTTCCGTCCGATGATTCACTCCCCAAGTGAGCGCAACAGGCCGATACTATGCCGATCCGAAGCCAGGAGCCTCTTCCGGGTCTCCCACGTGGGTGCAGGTTCCCAAGGCTTTGGGCCGTCCTCGACTGCTTTCCCAGGCCACAGGCAGGGAGCTGGAAGGGAAGCGGGGCTGCCGGGATTAGAACAGGCGCCCATATGGGATCCCGGGCGTGCAAGGCGAGGACCTTTAACCACTTGCGCCACCGCGCTGGGCCCAAAAGACAGGGTTTAAACTTAAGCCCATTTTAACTGAAAACTGGAATGCTCAACTCCTTTTATTTATCGCTGTTTTTATGTTCTCTGTGTCTTTCAGATTCAATGAAAATGGTTTCATTGAAAACATTGTGGTAAATTTCATAATATGGGAGATACATGGCAGGGATGACTACAGCTTTGCTAACACAATGAAGCAGGTATGGTATCTTGCAATTTAATTAGAATTTAGCATGCAAATAGGCCTTTTTTATACAGGTCTTTCTATTTTTTAAAGATGTAGTATTTATTGAAAATCAGAGTAACAGTAAGAGAAAGAATAATTGAATTTCTATATGTTGATCATTCCTCAAATGGCTGCAATGACCGTTTCCTGTTTCTAAGCTTTCCTTGTTATTCTCTATCTATTCTAGGGATTTTTTGTTTGTTTATTTGTTAGTTTGTTTTGGGGGGTTCTGGAGCGATCCTGATGGTCATTACGAGAGATGGTGGGGACCCAAAGTCGGAACCAGGCAAGAACCAGAGAAAGCTCCTCCCTCTAGTCCCGAAGGAAGTTTACTGTTCTGTTTCTGCAGACCGCTCAGTGCTCCTGGTTGTCGGTCCGATGACCTTGGATCCTGCAAGGCAGGGTATGGGCTTCTTCCATCCCATGTGGGAGAACCAAATGGAGGTGGGTGACCTCAGAGTTCTCGGCCTCCGAAGGCACTCCAATTCCCCGTGGTCTCCTTGGCGGTTGGGATGTAGTCCTCGGAGCTCGTACTGATAGTCCTTGGTGAGGACCTAGAAGTCTTCAGGGTTGGGATACAAGCCTCCTCCTGATCAGAACCTTCTTGAAGAAAATGATGCTATTGTATGACCTATGAGTCAGTGAAGAGTTTAATATGAGAAAAAGAACTGTTTTGAAGAAATGAAAATAAAAACAAAAACATAAAAATCCATGTGATATAGCTTCCACTGATCTTTGTTGGTGAGATGTGCCTCCTGTAGGCAATAGACAGATGGATTTTGTTCTTTGATATAGTCTACTCATCTATGACTGATGAGTTTAAGCCATTCACACCCAGGGTTAATATGGATAGGTGGTAATTCAGTCCTGTCATCTCAGCAATGGGGTGTTCATGGTTTCGTTTAGTCATTTGCTATCATTTCACTGGGATGTTCTCCATGTTTGCCTTTGATTTTGGTAGGTGCTATTCCTTTTCTCTGTCAAGAGGACATCTTTAAGTACTATTTGTAGCGCAGCTTTGGAAGAGGCAAAAGCTCAAATTCTTTGAGTTTTTCTTTATTATTTCACTTTCAAAGACAACGGAAAGCTTTGCTGAGTATGTTATTCTGGGCCAACGGTTTGGTTTGGTTTGGTTTCCTTTTAGAATCTGCAGTATGTTGCTCCATTCTCTTTTGGCCTGTGGAGTTTCCTGTAAAAGGTCTCCTGTGAATCTGATTGCCATTCCTCTATATGTCAACTGATTTCTTCATATACACATTTTTTTAAAGATTTATTTATTTATTGGAAAGTCAGATATACAGAGAGGAGGAGAGACAGAGAGGAATATCTTCCATCCGATGATTCACTCCCCAAGTAAGCACAATGGCTGATGCTATGCCGATCCGAAGCCAGGATTCAGGAACTTCTTCCGGGTATCCCACAGGGGTGCAGGGTCCCAAAGCTTTGGGCTGTCCTCGACTGCTTTCCCAGGCCACAGGCAGGGAGCTGCTGGGATTAGAACTGGCACCCATATGGGATCTCGGGCGTGCAAGGCGAGGAACTTAACCACTGCACCACCGCGCCGGGCCCCAAAATAAATAAATTTTAAACAAAGCAAATGTTTTTAAAAGGTCTCTGAAAATAAGGTGGGTATAAAAACTTAAAATATTTATACTCCACTCTTGAAATACTAAATTTTTCAAAAAATGTAAAACCTTCAATGGCATTTAAATGTATTAAACACTTAGGAATGAACGAATACAAACACTGACACATCCATATATGTGCAACCTTTTGACAGAGTGGCTGTCTCAACGAAGCCCAGACCTGGAAGTCCATGACCACTCTAAACAACCACCTCCCTTTGGAGGAAGCCTGGGGTCCTGAGGTAAGAAAATTGGTGTCTCAGATCATGAACTTGGCATTCCAATATTAACACAGACTTTATTTCAATCTGTTTTGGTACATTAAGTACTATTTTTCCTGTATGTCACTTCAAAAAAAAATGCTTCATTTCTGTTTGATCGTCAATAGATTCTGTGTTATCTTTCATTTTTCACTGCTGAAAATTGGTGTTTGCAGATTATTAAGTATCTGATAAAAACAGTATTGTGGAAGTGTCTTTTAGAAAACTGTCTAGCTTTTATAGTTTATTTCCTCACCTGAAAATCAATCAAGAAAGACTTCTCTGGTCACCCTGTTAAAGGACTTAACCATCACTACATCACAGCCCATATCCTCTTTCCCTGTTTTTTTTTATATCATCAACACTTGGAACTGCTTGACACAGTAGGTAATCCATTTGTTTTCAGCTTATTTACTGTCCGGCTATCCAGCTGGAATGAAGCTCCACGAGGGAAGCTAACTGGTTGTGTTCACTGCCATACCTTCATTGTCTACCCCACTGTTGGTGCTCAATATGTATTTGTAGAACAAATTAATGAATCATAGATTATACATCTATTATAAAGTGGACTATTTGACCACTTAAAATCATAATGAATTAAAAGTGTTGATGGAAACAGCTAAATCAAAACTCACCCTACTGAGTTTTTGTTGAAGGGGTTTGAGAAAACGGTAAATCACAGTCTATACCCATAACCCTTGGACAGGGCAGTGAGGTGTTCTAAGATCCTGCCCACATAGCCTCCAACACGTTAGTGAGCCCGCTGGATCGTTAAAAAGGATGGATCATGCCTCAATCCATATGACTTAGTGTGGTGGCATGCAGACTTTAGCATCGATCAGAATCACCTGGAGAGCTAGTTAAACTAAATTGTTGGATGCCACTGCAGAGTTTCAGATTCAGCAGATCAGGGGTGGGTGTGCCAACACGGGCATTTCTAACGAGTTCCCAGATAATGCTGATACAGCCAATCTGGAGACTACCTCTGGGAAACCACTAAAACAGCGGATAACTATCTAGAAAGACTTTGAAGTGTCCAGCCATATCAAAAAGTTCAATTCTACTTGTATGAGCAACAAAGTTCACCACTGAAAAAGTGAATCCACTGTGGGGTCTGAATATTACGGAAAGCAGGTCCCTGAGAAAGACAAATTATATCGTGGTGAATAAAGCTGCTCTTTTTACTGAGCAATGTTGCTGAATATGAACTCAGCTCAGCAGTCCAGGGTGCTTTCTTCCTGACTCATAAACATGAAGTGAAACAGAGCCTTCCAGTTCCTGGAGCTGTACCGCTCACTCCACTCACTGTGCATTCCTCCTATTCCTACTCAAATGGATGAAACTTCTGTAAAAGATTCTGAAAGCAGTGCCAGGATCTGAGTTCTCAGAGCAAAAAACTGAAGCACTCATTGGCAAGAGTGATATTTTCACAGGATCTTCCTAGTTGGAGATTCAGTCAGAAGATTATGGACCTGGCATGGCTGGCTACAGACGTGGAATTCTTGTGCAGGATGGAATTGAGTGTCTGGACTCGACTGAAAATGCCATCCTGGGAAGTCTTTTACTAGAAACAAAGTAAATTCATGAGGCTAAAAGAGGGTTCCCTTCCCCACCCCAGGAACTAGATCACATCATCAAATTGGCTTCTAAATGAAACACAGAGGGCGAAAGACGATCATTGTGGGGCAGGGGGTGGTCCTATAGTATGAAAGGACATAGGAGGATGTGGCACAAACAGCGCAGCAAAGGTGAATAGACAGAAATACCGAGTCGGAAACCAGAAACAACATAAGCACTCCCTTACATCCATATACAGTGAATACGCGTAAAGACACAAGGTGAGTAAGTCCTGGTGGCACGACCTTGTTGAGATACTAGATGTCCAGCTCCTGCACGTAGTTAGTGTATGCCACATATTTTTTTTTCTTTTAAGCTCCTGGTTCCATGTATTAACTAAATTGGTAGAACAAGAAGTTCCTGAGTTCAGAGCCAACTCAGTAGAACCTTCCACCAAAAAATAATAATCATAATAATAATTATGTAAGATAATTGTATTTCCAAATTAGGATCCATCAAAAGATTATGAGCTTTTTACTTGGTTTTCATTCCTCTACATCCAAAATGTTGTTTTGTAAGTATTGCTTCAGATTATACAGGTAGGAAGACAAAGATAAAAAATGGTAAACGATGTATATTAAAACAACTGTTTTATAGTTTATCCAAATATCATAAATGCACTTTGTTAAGTTTGGCAAAATTAACAGTTTCAGGAACAGCATTTATGGGTAAAATATAATTATAAAATGATTCACCTACATATAAAAAACCTGCTAAGAAGAGAAATACATATATTTTCACTATGAATCTTCAGAAACAAAAAGACCTTCACAAGCAATACTTCAATTCCTTATTTAACCGAAATTGGTATAAATGAAGACAAAGCGAGAGAGCTGTAGAAAAAAGGTATATCTAAAAGATGACGTAGCTAAATAAAATAGTTAAATTATGTATTCCTGCTTACCTCCAATATTCTTAAGGTAGAATGCTTTATCTGCAACACCATTGTACTGACAAACATTAAAATACAGGGAGAGTGTAAAGGCAAAGACAAAAACTGAATGTCACTCGGGTAAATCCAGTGTTATTACTAGGTTCAAAGACTACAGAAAGGACACAGCTCCCGTGACACTATGTTACAGGGAGGTGAGCAACGTGATCCAGGAAAAAGGGAAGTGCAAACTTCTAGATCTCCACAGATTTATCAAGTGTATAGTGACAGATGACACTCACTCTAAGTGGGCCAGGATCGGATCACGCCTTGACACAGCAGGTCACATGCCATAAAACTGAAGGCTGGAAGGGTTTGCACCTGGGCTGATCTGCTATTATAGCTATGTCTGTGCAAGTCTATAGATTCACATTCTAATCTGTTCCCTCTACTTTCCAGTTTCTCTGCCTCCCCTGGGAATAACTAATACATATGTATCTTCTGAGGTGCCTCTTTTAGGCTGGTGCTCCTAAGCCTGTTTTTGTTGCTGTTATTTTAACAAACCAAGGATATACTGACCTGTAGGCAGTATCCCTTCAAAATTCCTCCCTGGATGATTAGGCTGTGCTGTTGGTGTGTGTACTGGGCAGTCTGTCTCAGGGGAAGCCCTCAGGCCAGCACAGACTGTGCTCTCAGAGCCTAAGCAGCTCACAACAACCCAGGCTTCAGGCAAGTTGCTGCCCTGCTTTCTTAAAGTGGTCCCGGGTTTGGTGTGGTGGCATCTGCATCTATGGCACCGGCATCCCACAAGTGTGCTAGTTCAACTCTAAGCTGTTCCACTCCCATCCAGTTCCTGCTTATGGCCTAGAAAAGCAACAAAGGCTGCCCCAAGTTCTTGGGTTCCTGTATCCACATGGAAGCCACGAAGGAAGCTCCTGGTTCCTGGCTTCAGGCCATTATGGCCATTTTAGGAGTGAACCAGTGGTTGGAAGAGCTCTCTCTATCCTTCTCTATATATAACTCTACCTTGCTAATAAAAAAATTAACAAGTCTTAAGAAGAAGAAGAAGAAGAGGAGGAAGAAGAAGAAGGGGAAGAAGAGTAACAAGGACAGAAACCGGTACCTATATGAGATGCTGGTATTGCAGGAGGTGACTTTACTCACTACAACACAACAGAGATGGCCATCAGATAAAGCGAGACCATCAGACCGAGTGGTGTGACAACAGCAGTGCATATAACAGTTGGATTCTTTACAACAAGTCTAACAAAAGCCAGAGGATACATAATAAATTATTTTTTTTTAATCCAAAGATGTGTAGACACTTCTGCTCAATGCAATCTTCTTATGCACAACCCAGTTCTGTCCTTCTTGAGTCTTATCCTGTTATACAGATATCCTTTGCACTTTTGCCAGAGCTCTCTCACAGTGGAGCTGAACAGATAGATGTGTGCCCCCTCACTGGTTAATACTGACTTCATTTGCACTTCCCCTCAATAGGATCATTAACATGAGGAGGAGATCCATTGCCAAGTCAGTAGTAGAGCAGCTGGGCCTCCCGTCCATGTAGGCTGCTTTTTGTTCAGTTTACATACAGGAGTAGTCATTTTCATGGCTTATGGCTCTCTGAATTCAATGATTTCACATTAAAATGCTCAATGACTCAAGGGCTAAATCCTCACCTTACAAGAGCTGGGATCAGATATGAGTGCTGGTTCATGTCCCAGCTATTCTGCTTCCCATTCAGCTATCTGCTTAATGGCTGTGAAAGCAGTCAAGGATGATCCAAAGCCTTGGGACTCTTCATCCACGTGGGAGATCCGGAAGAGGCTTCTGACTGCAGTCTTCAGATTAGCTCAGCTCTGGCTATTGCAGCCACTTGGGAAGTGAACCAGTGGATGGAAGATCTTTCCTCTCTGACTCTCTTTCTCCCCATAAATCTAATCTGCCTTTCCAATAAGAATAAATAAATCTTTTTAAAAAATGCATTATGGGGCCCGGCGCAGTGGCCTAGTGGCTAAAGTCCTCGTATTGAACGCACCAGGATCCTATATGGGTGCCGGTTCTAATCCCAGCAGCTACACTTCCCATCCAGCTCCCTGCTTGTGGCCTGGGGAAGCAGCCGAGGATGGCCCAAAGCCTTGTGACCCTGCACCCGTGTGGGATACCAGGAAGAAGTTCCTGGATCCTGGCCGTTACACTCACTTGGGGAGTGAATCATCGGACGGAAGATCTTCCTCTCTGTCTCTCCTCCTCTCTGTATATCTGACTTTCCAATAAATAAATCTTTTTTTAAAAGGCATTCTGAATTGGAAGACACTTTGTGCTTTTTTTTATTCCAAATAATTTTCCTTCAGCCTATCTAGGATGATACCATTCTAAACTATTCTTTTTTTTTTTTTAAGATTTGTTTGTTTTTATTGGAAAGGCAGATGTTCAGAGAGAAGGAGACACAGAGAGGAAGATCTTCTGTCCAATGATTCACTCCCCAAGTGACTGCGACTGCCAGAGCTGAGCCACTCCAAAGCCAGAAGCTCAGAGCCTCTTCAGGGTCTCCCATGTGGGTGCAGGGTCCCAAGGCTTTGGGCCATCCTTGACTGCTTTCCCAGGCCACAAGCAGGGAGCTGGAAGGGAAGCGGGACCACCGGATTTAGAACTGGCGCCCATATGGGATCCCAGCACGTGTAAGGCAAGGACTCTAGCCCCTAGGTTACCATGCCAGGCCCTAAAGAATTCTAAGGTTAAGATTATCTCTAAACTTTACCCCACTGTAACATCCCTCATTTTTAGTTCAAATTCTTGGGACAGAACTTTGATAGAACTAAGATGATGAGCTTCCCTACCCCCAACACCAGCTGTATCCTGGAATAAGGAGAGAAAGAACTTGTGCATGCCCATTTTGAACATGAAAAGTGTGAGCTTGGAATTATTCTCCCACTCTGATGACATCGAAAAAGAAGCAGGGTTCTAATGAGAATATTAATGACTTTGAGCGCGGGGAGGCAGGGGGAAGGCAAATAGCTACAAACACTGCTCTCAGGGAGAGTTAATGCTGAAATTCTCATTTAATTACAACTATTAAGTTGGCTACGGACCTTGACAATAATTTCATCTAGAAGACATTAAGAATAATTGACAGAGCCAGCATTGTGATGTAGCAAGTTAATCCACCCCCTATGACACCAGCATCCCATACAGGCATTGATTCTATCCTGGCTGTTCCACTTCCAGTCCAACTCCCTTCCTTCTGGGAGAGAATAGAAGATGGTTCAAGTGCTTGGACCCTGTGCTGCTAGGCCACCCAGTGAGACAACTTCCTGGCATTGACCTGACACAGCCCCAACCATTGCAGTCATTAGGGAGCAAGCCAGCAGATGGAAGATATCTCTCTCTCTCTCTGAAACTTTTCCTTCTAAATAAAAAATAATTATATGTTTTTTAAAAGAATGATTGATCATTGGAGCAGAAGGAACAGTAAGTCCATATCCTCACACTTTGTGATACCTAAGGAACATAGGCAGATCTCTCAGGGTTGTAGCTCACACTTGAATAAAGCAGTTTTTCAAAAAATTTAAAGAAAACTCTTTAGTCAATATAAAGGTCTCCAGAGAAACTAGGGCATGGTTGCTTAGCATACCAGTGGCCTTGAACAAGTGAGGAATGGATCAGCAAAGGCAGGTTTCTGAGTAAATGGATAGAGCTAATCCAACATGCCCATGAGCAAACTTCAGAAAGTTCCTGGTAAATCTGTATTACCAAAAACTACATGCATAGATTTCAAAACTTTTATTGCACCAAGATGATCTCTTTTCTAACTTATAAAAATGTGTTATTTTTTTTTTTTTTTGGTGTCTCTCTCTCTCTCCCTCCTCTTTCGAGACGCACCCCACCTCCCGGTTTTCTCTCCGGAGGTGCTTCCCCCTCCCTCCCTTCCCTGCTCACCTGGTCCTTTCACAAATATACTTTTCTGTTTGCAACAGAAAAAAAAAAAGAAGAAGAAGAAAGAAAAAAATGTTTTATTTTATTTTTGTTTTTATTTTAAAGATTTATTCATTTTTATTAGAAAGTCAGATATAAAGAGAGGAGGAGAGACAGAGAGGAAGATCTTCCGTTGTCTGGTTCACTCCCCCTGTGGCTACAATGGCCAGAGTTGACCCAATCTGAAGCCAGGAGCAAAGAGCCTTCCCCGCAGCTGCATGGGCCACAAGCAGTGAGCTGGAAGGGAAGCAGGGCTGCCGGGACATGAACAAGCACCCATATGGATCCTGGCGCATGCAATGCGAGGATTTAACCACTAGGTTACTGCGCCGGGCTCTTATTTTATCTTTAAACATGTATTTATTTCTATTGGAAAGACATTACAGAGAGAAGGAGATTCAAAGGTCTTCTGGTTCACTGCCCAAATGGCCACAATGGCCAGACTTGAGCTGATCCAAAGCAAGGAATTTCTTTTGGGTCTCCCATATGGGTGGGTGCAGGATCCCAAGGAGTTGAGCCATCCTTCACTGCTTTCCCAGGCCTTTAGCAGGGAGCTGGGTTGGAAATAGAGCAGCTGGAATTCAAAACTTATGCCCATGTGGGATGCCAGTGCTATAGGAGGAGACTTCTTGTGCTATGCCATAATGCCACCCCTTCCCCTACTGTTCTATTATCTGAGGTCATTCAGCTAGGGTCCTTAGCAGCTGCAAGTACAGAGAATAGAATTGGTTCTCAAATGTTAAAGAAGAAGAAACCTTTAACAATGTTTCAAATTAAGACTCAACATTAATTCAACAAATAAATATTGACCACTTTCTGTTTGCCAGAATAGGATACATCAGTAAGCTACCTCCTACAGGTCTTCATTAGCACCATCTAATCCTGACATTTTTGTTCCTTTGGTTGCCATGGGGACACTTGTTTTTGAGACTGTGCAAGAGCTTGATTGATCCCAAGATGTATTGACTGGAAAGTTTTTCGTGGAAGAACAGTATGTTGACATAGGTAGGAAAAAAATACTATTATTATAGTCCTTTTTATCTTGTTATAACAGAATACCTGAGACTGGGTAATTTATAATGAACAAAAACGTATTGGATCTGGGGCTAGTGAGTTAGGCCACAGTCCTCAGGGCTGGCATCCCATACTGGCACTGATTTGAGCCCTAGCTGCCTCACTTCTAATCTGGCTCCTTACTAATGCACCTGGGAAGGCAGCTCAATGCAATCTTCTAAAAGATGGCCCAAGTGCTTTGGTTCCTGCACACATGTGGGAGACCCAGAGGGTTGCATGGATCCTAGCTTTAGCCTGGCCCCATCTGGCCATTGTCACCATTTGAGGAGTAAACCAAGAGATGAAAGACCTCTCTGTCTCCACACCCCCCTTTCCTTCTCTGTCTCTCCTTAGGTATGTGTATATCCCTCTCTCATGTAACTCTGCATTTCAAACAAATAAAATCTCTCAGTCTTTTTCTTTCTCTTTAATGTATTAGATCACGATTCTGGAGACTGGTGGGATCTCTGACTTCGAGGACCTGGTGTCTGACTGGGGCCTCTTGCTACACCGTCTCATGGAGGAAGGACAAGGGAAACCAGGAAGACAAACAAGACAGGGAGGAAGAAAGGCCAGACTACCTTTCATAAGGACCTCACGCTCACAATTTTAGTATTAATCTATCCACAACAGTAGTGTCCCTGTGATCTAAACACCTCCCATTAGACCTCACCTCCCAGCACCTCTGCACTGGGGGTCAGATTGCCAGCATGTGGATTCCAGAAGACACATTTAAGCCACAGCAACCATGAAGGACGCTGACAGTCAGAAGCTCAGGCACTCCCAAAGCAATGACCTCACAGGACTTTCTGTTTGCTTCAAAGGAGAAACTTCCAGAAAGTAAGAAGTGTCCTTCACACTGGGCATGAAAGCACACAAGACCTAAAGAAGCCCAGGAAGCCACGCCACGGGTTACTGTTAGATCAGAAAGTTGATGTTTTCTTAGTTTTAACAAATTGTCTTTTCTGAAATATAAGCTCTTGTTTCAGTGAGATGTCTGATTGTTTTTAAAATGAGGAGTGGCAGATAAACACTGTGGCTAGTTTGGTATACTGAGAGCCTCAGTGATTCATGGTAGTGGTAACAAGATTGATGGAAGTTGTAGACGACAATAAAAATCCCAGGAATATACCATCTTGACACTTGTGTTCAGACCTTACAATCAACACAGTTTCTGTTCTAGGTTAAACAATCTTGGAAGATTTTGTGCCTCATTGATTTAAGAAAATAATATACTTACATACTTAAAATACTCTAATTTCTTACAACTAATGAAACAAATGCAGCGTTTGCTTTCACTAAGATTCACTTTTCATCTAAATTTAATTCCGTATGGTCTTTAAAAATGCTTCTGAGCACTTCTGCACTCTGTGCTGGTAGAATAGAATTGCCGCTTCATCTAAGTAATTTTCTAAGATAAACACACAAGAATGTAATTTTTTAAATTAAAATCAGAAAGTGATCTTAGATTTTTGTCTCTATTTCTCATTCAGAACTATAGGCACTGCTTTTCTTATGCTATTGGAAAACCAGGAGACTTAGATCAACCATATGAGATTATCAACAGTACTAATGGTAACCACTTAGTCTGGCCCTCGGATCATTCTGGATTATATGTGTTTCGTGTGAAGATCCTAGATCCAAACTACAGGTAAATATAAATGTTCTACTATAATCATCTCAGTACTAATTCTTCAAAATTAATTGTTCTATTTTATTGCTTTAATTTGATGCCATAGTCCAGATGTCCAATGATTGTTATTGCTGTTTACATAGTTACTTTTTCATTGTGTAACAGTTCTATGAAACATAAGAATGAGAACATTTATGTTAAATGTTCAATAATAACTGTCATTACCTTCTGAGTATTTTACAATGTTGCATTGCCGTCTGCGTCCAACCGTAACATAGGCACAATCACAGTGCTTATCACGGAAGCTGCTTGGGGAAGAAGTGGAGGTGGACAGCCAAACCCGGAGAGGTTAAAGCACATTAAGTGGAAGAAGCTGCAGTACGAACAAAGGGAAGCTCAGTGCTAGCATTGTCTACCTCCTGGCCAGTCGGGGACGAAAGGGAACATCCCCTGAGTGAGGAAAGCAGGAAACAAACAAGACAAATTTAAAGTGATAGATACATAATGTTGAAGGAAATTTCCATGTCCTAGAGAGCCTCTTCAGTGTCCTCCCTCAGGGAGGACTCAGGAGAATTAACCTGAGAGGAATATGCAAAAGAAATTATCTCCATGGAGAATAAACTCCATGCTATGAGAGGAGGGGGTTTAATGTGGCAAAATGTCCAAGGTGGCAACAGGAACGGAAAGAAAGGGGCAGGGGACTCTATTAGACATGTGCAAGAAGAAGACAAGGAAGGAGTCTGGTTTTTGAGTTTTCTAGATTTGGTAATTCAAATGCTACATTTTCTTTGACCATGCTGGATAATAAGGTGGCTTTTTTGGGGGGTGCGGAGGGGAGTTACTGAGATAAGAGTTTTAACTCGGAAAAAAAAAAACAGTTTTAACTCGAATTTGTGAGTGCAGAGAGTGATCTGCATGAACATGATACACACTTAAAGATTCTGATTTAGGGAGGCCAGTACTGTGGTATGCTTGCTACAGGTGACCGAGCAGCCCACATGGGTACCAGCTCGTGTCCTGGCTGCTCCACTTCTGATCCAGCTCCCTGCTAATAATTTAAAAAGCAGCAGAAGATGGCTCCAGTGTTTGGCCCCCTGCCACCATGGGAAAGATCTGGACCAAGCTCCTGGATCCTGGCTTCCCCCTGGCTCAGCCCTACTCACGGCTGCCATCTGGGCAGAGAACCATCAGATAGATCTCTGTCTCTCTCTCTCTCTGTCCCTCCCTCTCCCTACCCCTGTGACTCTTCCAAATAAATATTTTTTAAAAAATTCTAATTTGAGTCTGAAGGAGGAGGAAAGAACTGAAGATAAAAGTTACAAATGGGGTTATCTTCTGTAAGGACTTCAGAAGTGTACATGAGTCAACTAACTGATTCTGCAGAAAGAGCAGTGTTGGGAGACACAGTTAAGGAATGGAACAGAGCAGTAAGCTATTCAAATACAGAAGAGAGAGGGCCCAGCATGGCCCAGACACCCTAGTGGCTGGTGTTCTCACCTTGCACACACCAGGGTCCCATAGAGGCACTGATTCATATCCCAGATGCTCTACTTCTCATCCTGCTCCCTGCTTATGGCCTGGGAAAGCAGTCAAGGAAGTCACTTTTAAAAAGAGGGGGGAAGGGAACAAAAACAGAATGTTCATAGGAAAATACAGTAAAACAGGATATTTAAATGTGATTGCCTCACCATTTTTAAAAGGGAAGAAAATGGCATCTTAACAAAGATTATATGTGCTTGATTGTTACCATAGAAATATGAAGGGAGCTTTTAAAATACATTGTGCTTAATTTAATCTTTAACATGATTTTTCTCATTTGCAGTTTCTGTAACCTAACAGCCACCTTCGCAATAGAGACCTACGGAGCAATTCCCAGGTAATGAGCGGCATGTAATCAGGCGTTAGTGTGGAGAGTTCTAAAACCTGCAGGTGACAGATGGACGGGAAAAACCCTTCTTCCCCAATGTTTCCCGAGACCAGAGCCCACAAGATTGCTCTGTCAGGGTCCGCAGCTTAAATCTTATCATGACCATCACACGACTTTCAAGAAGCCCAAGTACTTCTACCCTGTATTTCTTACTCTGTAAAAATTGTATGTGTGTGTATGTTATGCCAGGGGTACAGCAGGAAGAAATTTCTAAGAATCGCTGTACATCAAAGATCCCTTTAATGTGCTGTTCCACCCAGGAGCTACAATCTTTGTAGCAGACAATTCTCTCAACTCCACCAACTTGGTGGCGAGTGTAAGGCAGCAGTGGGAACGTGGAGGCCACCGTAGCTATGTCCTCCCACTCTACGCCCAAGCCAGCCCTCAGGCACTGCCCATTATTCTGACATGGCCACGGAATAAGCAGGGAGGGTACTTCCCTGGATTCCAGTTCCAATTCCCAAAGTACAAAGTTTTCATTCTCAAGTTAGGACCTTGCCTGACTTTGCCTCTCTGCCCTGCTGTTTTGAAGTTTATGTTAAACAAAAGTAGAAGATAAACAAGTTACTCGTGGCCCTGCTTTAAATATTACTGATACTTCAGGATTTTGGAGGTGTGAGGATGGGAAGGTAACGTTGTGAGTAATATGCAAATGATAAAAGCCAAGAATTTTTCTCAATTTTGGCAACATGTAGCCTTCCTGCAGTGCCATCTCTTCCTTCTTAGGCTGCTGCATCTGTGACTGTTCATGGTAGTATCTAACAGCAGGTGTTTAGCCTAGGGGCTGACAGATCCACATGTGCCTCAAAGTCATTGAGTTTTGATCCCACGCTCCAGTTTCTGATTCCAGCTTCCAGCTAATGCCAGGCTAGCAGGCAGTAGTGATACCTGAGGCAATTCAGCTTCTGCCTCCCACGCGGGAGACCTGGATTGAGTTCCAAGCTCCAGCTCCAGCCGTGACCAAGCTGTTGCATTTGAGGCATGAACCAGCAGAACCAGCAAATGGGAGCATGCTTCTCTCTTTCTCTGCCTCTTGGACTTTAAAATCAGTATTTCTCTTAAAAAGATTTATTTTTTTTTATTGGATAAGCAAATTAACAAACAGAAGGATAGAAAGAAAGATCTTCCATCCACTGGTTCGCTTCCCAAATGGCCTAATGACAGGAGCTGATCCAAAGCCAGGAACCTGGGGCTTCTGGGTCTCCCACGCAGGAGAGATCCGAAGGCTTTGGATCATCCTTCACTGCCCTTCCAGACCACAGGATGGAGCTGGATGGGCAGTGGAGCAGCCTGATCACAGACCAGTATTCACATGGGATGCCAGCACTCGCAATCAGAGAATTAGCCAACCGAGCCATCACACAGGCCCCAAATATTGCTGTAGAAAGAATAAAAGGAAATATGTGCACTCAATTACTCAGAAGAGAGAATGGGCTGAGTTAGGGAAGAGAGGAGGAGGGGTAAAGGTGGAGGATCTTCCTGTTTGTCCCAGTTCTCACCTGCCAACACCCTGATTCCAGTAGTCAGGGAATAGAATGACAGGGGCTGGTCCATTCGTAACCAGTAATTTAACCCCTGTTAACAGCTGGTCCTTAAAGGGTGCCTGAGGCAGATGGGGGCCAGCTTGTGGTGATCTTAGTAAGAGCCGTCTCAGGCACAGTGACTGGAGATCATTCTGTGGGCGGCAGAGTGCTTAGGTTTCCCCTGCTTTCCTGTCCAGTGCTCAGCCCTTGCACTCTGTCCGGTTTCCTGTTCCATTCTCTGGCCCCAGTGCTCAGCTGTCCTCTGAAGCCTGCATCTTCCTGTGAAGCCAAGCCCTCCCTAAGGACACTGCTTCACTTCTCAGCTCTCTCAAGTGATGCTATTTTTTTCACCCCTTGTGTACTTCAGGGTCCTATTATGACTTCCAGATCTTTCTTTGTCCTGGTTCTTACGCAACAAAACAAAACAGAAAAAAAAAAAAAAAAAACACTCACTCTGATCCAGTGGGGCTTATTGTGTCTAGGGCCCCAGATCTCCCTGTGCTCATGCTGCGTCTTCTTCCAGCTCCTTTTGACCCACTTGTGTTCCTTGGCCTGTCACAGTGGTAATACAGTAATGTCTGCCTTAAACCCCATTGTCAGTGTCCACAGGGTCAACTCAGTCTAGTGTCCGGTATCTTAGCCCTTCCTCATTCTCTGTGACCTTGTCCTTTTCTGCTCTCTAGCTGTCATTCCTCTAGACCCAGCTTGGACACTGCCATTACTTGTAAGTTTTCTGAGTCTTGAAACAACAATTCAATCTTTCCATTCTCCCACCACGCTCTCCTGTCCTTCCAGCCTGTTAGCCCCAGTTCAGCCTCTGCAAACCTTCTTCATCCTCACTGGGTGAAGTAGCTCTATTTTCAATCTCTGTTTTTTCAAAGTCCATTCTTTCATTAATGGTACACTTATCAGCACTCCTCTCCCTTCTAGGACCAGGTCACCCATATGGAAAATCCCCAAGCACGTAGTTACTGTGAGACACTTGAGCAGTCCAGTCCTGGGAAGGAATGTCACACAATAGGGCAGATTGATTACCAGGCTTAAATAGGCCACCCAGCCACCTGGAACTCTTACTGCCCTAGCCTGGCCAGACCACACTTACACTCTTTGAAACAACAATCTCAGACCTTGCCTCATTGACTTGCTCCTCAGATAGCTTTTGACAATCAGCAAATGAACTTACTACCATATTCACAGAAAAACTGGAAATCACCAGACAAGACGCCCCGCTGTTCCTGGTTCCCAAACTTAAAAATCTGCCAATAACTATACCTGTTCTCTCCTTGGTCTATCCTATTACAATAAAGACAGTATCATTTATCCTTTCTAAACATTCTCCCACGTGTGCCCTGTTGCTTCCCACTTTCTTAGAAAGTTTCCAAATCAGTTTTTCCTGCTCTCTTCCACATATTCAACTTCACCTCTCTACTACATCCTTCCAATAAAATTGAAAAAACTTCCAAGTGTTTCCTTTGTAGGACAAAATGCAAAAGCTTTGCCTATACTCTTAGTATCCATTTCCCTGTGGTTCAGCTATATTTCTCTAATCCATCCAGTCTGGCTTATACCTTACCCCCACAACAAATTAGTTCTCATAAAATAACTTTGTCTGCATTACTCTAACACATATTCTTCAGTCCTCATTTGACCTTTTATTAGCAGCATTTGACCCTTCCTTTAGGTGTTTTATATCTCTATGGGTTTTCCTAAACTCTCTCTCTCTTTTTCTCTCTCTCTCTCTTTCCCTCCCTCCCTGTCTATTTTTCTTATCAAGAAGAGCTCACCCTTTTTCACCAGCAATTATGTGTTGGCCTCCCTTGAGGCTCAGTCGTGTTTGCTTTACCTCTCACTCCGACAAGCTCATGCACATGTATGACTCCACTTAACATCTGTATTCACGTGACTCCTGAATCCTATCTCTACCCCCGTCCAAAGCCAAATGTCCCACTGCCTGTTCACCTCTTCTCTTAGATGTCTCAGACCAGTCAGACCAGACACGCTCCAAAGCAAACTTGTGATCTTACTACCCGCCCCCTCGCCCCATGATTTGTCACACTCATTAAAGCTCACCTGTCAGGTCACACTACACACAGCCATGTGGATTCTCCTGGTACAGCTCTAGGAGATACCTTCCCACAGACTATGACATAAGCGGTGCCCTTTGGAATGCCCCTGTTTTCTAACCTTCCCTCTTTCTGGAAGGAGTCAAACACCCAGGAACCCAAAGCTCGAAAGAAGAGCCTAGAATTCACATTCATTCTTCTCCCACAGCCCACCAAACCATCACTGGCTCCTGTTCACTGTATCTCCCACATAGTTCATGCATGCACTCACTTTCTACCTAGTTCACGCAACCAAGCTAAGCAGGCTGTCATTATTATCCCTGCAATGGACTCTGAACTGATCTTCCCACAGTAGAGTTGTCTTTTCAAATTGCTAACCTTGGTATCTAGAAATTCTTTCTTTTTTTTTTTAAAGATTTATTTGTTTATTGGAAAGTCAGATATACAGAGAGGAGGAGAGACAGAGAGAAAGATCTTCCATCCGATGATTCACTCCCCAAGTGACCACAAAGGCTGATGCTATTCCGATGCGAAGCCAGGATCCAGGAACTTCTTCCTGATCTCCCATAGGGGTGCAGGGTCCCAAGGCTTTGAGCTGTCCTCGACTGCCTTCCCAGGGCACAAGCAGGGAGCTGGATGGGAAGTGGAGCTGCCAGGATTAGAACCAGCGCCAATATGGGATCCCAGGGCGTTCAATACGAGGACTTTAGCCGCTAGGCCACACCGCTGGGCCCATTCTTTTTTTTTTTTTAAGATTTATTTATTTTTATTGCAAAGTCAGAAATACACAGAGGAGAAGAGACAGAGAGGAAGATATTTCCTCCGATGGTTCACTCCTTAAGCGCCCACAACAGCTGGAGCTGAGCCAATCCGAAGCCAGGAGACTCTTCCAGATGTAGGTGCAGAGTCGCAAGGCTTCGGGCTGTCCTCGACTGCTTTCCCAGGCCACAGGCAGGGAGCTAGATGGGAAGCGGGGCTGTCGGGATTAGAACTGGTGCCCATATGGGATCCCGGAGTGTTCAAGATGAGGACCTTAACCACTATGCTATTGCGCCAGGCCCAATCTAGAGATTCTTAAGTTTCTTTCCATAAATTGAAAGTACTTAGCGTGGCCAAAAAAGGCCTTTTGGCATCTAGCTTCCAGCAATCTTTCAGTCTAGCTGGGATCCTATTACCCTGACTTTCTCAGCTCCAGACTCTCCGCTTTCTGTCAGTCCCTAGTCTTGTTCCACAGCAAGACATTTGCATATTTTTGAGAAAATTTGTTTGTTTGTTTGTTTGTTTGTTTGTTTAAAAGGGAAAGAGAGAGATCTTCTGCACACTGGTTCACTCTCCCCATGACCTCAATGATTGGGGTTGGGGTAGGCCAAAGTCAGGAACCGGGAACTCCATTCTAGTCTCCCACCTGGGTGTGGCACTTGCAGCTGTCTTCCAGCTGCTTTCCCAGGCACATGGGCAGGGAGCTGGTTTGAAAGTAGAGCAGTCTGGACTTGCAATGGCACCCAAAGGGGAGGCATGTGGGGTGCCACTGCATCACAATGCCAGCCCCTTTTCCACATACTTTTCCCTCTTGTCGCTGTCCCGCAGCGACGGACTTGGTGCACGGAGCCGATAATAACACGCGTGGACCCTGACTGATGGTCAAAGCCGAAGTTTATTAGGGGCATCAGACCTTATACACTGAGAGTCCGTACTGTTTCCCTCTCTTGATTGGAATTCCTTTTGTTTTGTATATCCCACCAGGTGTTCTCATTTACATGCTGTTTATACCAAAGGTAGCCATTTGGTTGTTGACATGCAAATACTGTCCAATAAACTGCAAACCTGTGCTCGCTGCCCTTCCAGGGTCACAATGTCCTCCTACACTCTATCTGGAAACCTTCCCTTCCCTCTCTTTGCCTACTTTACCAGTTTGTTTTTTTTTTTCCTCTTTAGATTTCAGGATGATTATCTTTTCACTGTGAAGCCATTTCTGAATCCCATTTACCAGGTTAAATTCTGCCACAGTAAATTTTCATGGGATGGTTTCGCTCTCCTTTTTAATTCTTTATATAACTATAATTTTAGATTTACTTAATCATTGTTTAACAATTATATCCCACTAAAATGTAAGTTTCCTAAGAATGAAATTGTGTCTATTTTTACTTAACATTATATCACCAGCACCTGGCACAGTGCCTGGCAGATATCATGTGGTTATGTTAATGAATTAAGTTCCTAAAAAGAAAGCCATTCACTGGAGCCAGATTAAATTTATACTCATAAGTGACAAGGATTAGACCAAGGTGTCTTGGGGTAAGTGTAACCCTGAAAACAAATAGTAACAAGTTAAAAGGAACCAAAAACTAACATCAGCTACCAGAATACCAATTTTAAAAAAAAGCACAGGCCCTGCATGGTAGCCTTGTGGCTAAAGTCCTCGCCTTGCATGTGCCAGGATCCCATATGGATCCTACTTCATTTCCCAGTTGCTCCACTTCCCATCCAGCTCTCTGCTTGTGGCTTAGGAAAGCCATTGAGGATGGCCCAAAGTGTTGGGGTCCTGCACTTGGGTGGGAGACCCAGAAGAAGCTCCTGGCTCCTGGCTTCAGATCAGCTCAGCTTGGGCTATTGTGGCCACTTGGGGAGTGAACCAGCAGATGAAAGATCTTCGTCTCTCCTTCTCTCTAAATCTGCCCTTCAAATTTAAAAAATAGAGAGATATATAGATATATCACAATTTTTGGTCCCAGAAATAAACTTGTTCTGATAGGAGGCCCCCAGACAGAGCTTAATGTTTGGCAACGAGCTGAGCTTGACACAACACACACGCATGCACACTCATACCCACCCACATGGTTATATCAAATTTTATCCATGCATCCCCCAGTGGGCACCTGAGTGGATTCTGTGTCTCGGCTACTGAGTAGCGCTGAAGTGATCCTGGGAGAGAATATCTTTCATGTGCTAATTTCATTTCCTCAGACTGAGGAGTGGGGATAATGGGATCATGTGGTTGAGCACATTCCAGTTTTTTGAGGCACACCCGAACTGTTGGAACTGCCATTATGGTTGAGCTAATTTGCATCCCTCAGTAACTGTGTGAAAGTGTTCCTTTTCTTTACATCCTCACCAGCATTTGTTGTTTTGTCTTGTTGAGAGTAGCCGTTTTGACTGGAGCGTGATAATACCTCCCTTGGTTTTGATCACAGTATGGCAGGAACATTGAGCGTTCTTTCTATATATTTGTCAGCTGCCTCTACTTGTCTCCATTACTTTAGTCACCAACTAAATCCCTCTTGGAGCTTACCTGGATTACTACAAATCCCTTACAATTGGTCTTTCTGTTTCTCACTCTTCTGCTTCCCTTTTGTCCATTCTACACACCGGAATCAGTATCTGCCTGCTAAAGCATCAGTCCAACACCATGTCTCTGAAACTGCATCTCACCTGCAGGAAGAGATCGACACCATCTAGCCAGCTGTAATGGCAGCTGTCTCAGCTGACCCCTTCCCACTTCTTTTGGTTTCCCATTCCTCATTTCTAAGACCCAGGCCTCACCTCTGCGGTCTCAGTTGGAGAATGTCTAAGAGACATCTTCACGTTCCCCGATGCTTTCCCACCATTGTAGGTGCCATCTTTTCTTTGCCTCAAACACTGTTCCCACCTTCGTCTCTCTGTCCGCTGCCACCCTACCTGTTCAGGTGTTCCTTCCCCTGGAAAGCCTTCCACCACACAGGGCTCTCGCGGGACTTCACGCTTCCTTTCCTCATCCTGTTGATCCCTTGGCCTTATTTCCACCCTTAGCAGCCCTGAGGACAGATCAGGTGGGGCCTTAGTCACCACGCTCTGACAGTGCTGTAGTAGCTAGTTGTTCCAAAACTGGATCATCCAAAGTGGAAACAATGACATCTAATGATTTTTTTTTTCTCATTGCAGACCAAGTGGCTACCTGGTTGCTGCTTTCATCTTTAGCCTGATGCTACTGTTTTGCAGTATTCTTGTTTTGAGCTACTTCTCATATCTGACAATCTATAAACAATGTGTTTATGATCCACTTCACAAACCTCAAAGAAAATCAAAGAAAAAATAGAAAAACTGAAAACTTGTTTACTGTGGGTCCACTATGTAGAAGCATTATATGCATATATTTATTTATAGTTATATATATACTTATATTGAAAGAATGTGTTTCACCAAGATGTACTAAATATAAACACATAAAAAGTGTCATCAAATTTAAGATCTGAAAAATATTCTTAAATTATCCCTAAACACAAAAATTATATATATATATATTATATTAGTGAAGAATCCCTATTTGTATTCATTTTCAAGATCCCCTTAAACAGAATGTTTAAAAATAATAAACTAAATTTGGATTTAATAATCCTTTCTAGAATGCTTAAATATATAACTTTTTTGGATAACACTTTTCATATTAAACCTTATATGACTGTAGTTAATTTATATATAAATGATTTAATAAAAGTGTGTGGACTCAAATTATCTGTTTCAAACAGCTTTTAGAAGTTTTTCTAGTAGTCAATATAATATAAAAGTTATGGCAGGACTGGGAGCAGGCAGGCCTGGGCGTCATGGGACATAGGCGGGCTACTCCCATGGCTTGCCAATGTTAGACAAAGGGCCTAAAGCTGGGGTTGTACGCAGATAGGGACCCCACAGGTGGCCTTTGGGTCACCAAGTAGCCTGGGCTTTCATGTCCAGTTGGTGTCAGATGTGACAGTTTCTCTGATCCCAGGGACACAAACCAAAGCTATTAAACTTGAATTTATTTTTTTTACTAAAATCAGGAATAAAACAAAGATACCTGCTATTCATCACTGCTTAGAAAGCTCTAACATTACAAGAGGAAAATGAAAGAAATGATATAAAAATTGGTTCTGGGGGTGCACTATAAAGTTGCTGCCTACAATGCTAAGTGTCCCACATGGATACCAGTTTTAGACCTGGCTGCTTCACTTCCAATCCAGCTCCCTGCTAATGGTCTGGGAATGCAGCAAAGATGGTCCAAGTCTTTGGGCCCCTGCACCAACATGGGAAACCCAGAGTAGGCTCCTGGCTCCTGGCTTTGGACTGGCCCAGCTCCAACCCTTGCAGACATTTGGAGAGTAAACCAATAAATGAAAGATCTCCGGCTCTCTCTCTCTTTTTCTGTAACTCTGCCTTTCAAATAAAGAGATGAATCTTTTAAAAGTAAATAAACACTGGGAAAGAAATATAAGCATCTCTCTTTAAATGGCAGGAATACCTAGAAAACCCAAAATTCACCACAGGTTTCAGCAGAATAAGAAAATTTGAGGGTTTAATACCAGACTAATATTTAAAAATTGATACTTTGCTCCTTTAATTAAAAGATATCATCTCTTGTATGGGCAATTGGGTTCTCGAAAGAGCTGCATAATGCAAGTAATAAAGGAGTGTCTGAGGAATGAGCGGGGTCTACTGTGGAGGGGACAGGGACTCCAGGACTTGAGCTATCCCCTTCCGCCTTCTTGGGAGATACCCTAACAGACAGCCGAATTGCAAGGGGGACAACCAGGACTCAAACCAGTAACCCTGAAGCAACATGCAGGCATTCTAAGAGGTGTGTTAACCACTGATGCAAATGCTCATCCCTTGAAATAGTCTATTTTCTCTTGCCAAAATTGTTGGCTACTTGAAGAGATGATATAGTTGAAAAATTCAGAGGAAAAATGGTATTCCTTATTTATCTGTCTTTAGTTATGAGGTGACTTTTTTCAAGATTTATTTATTTTATTGGAAAGTCAGATTTACAGAGAGAAAGAGAGAGAGGAAAAGATCTTCCATCCAGTGGTAACTCCCCAAGTGGTTGCAATGGCCAGAGCTGAGCCAATCTGACGCCAGGAGCCTTCTCTGGACTCCCCATGTGGCTTCAGATCTTCCGTCGGATGATTCACTCCTCAAGTGACCACAACGGCTGGAGCTGCGACGATCCAAGCCAGGAGCCAGGAACTTCTTCTGGGTCTCCCACACAGGTACAGGGCTCCAGGGCTTTGGTATTATCACCCACTGTGCTCCCAGCCACAGACAGGGAGTTGGATGGGAAGTAGAGTAGCCAGGACATGAACTCATGCCTGTATGGGGTCCCAGCACTTGCAAGGGGTGGATTAGCTGACTGAGCCATCACACTAGCCCAAGAGGTGACTTTTTAAGTTATTGTAATTGTTCTGGTTGTCCATATGGAAGTGAAATGTGATTGATGTGGCTTTGGTTGCAAAAGTGGTTCAGGTGGACACTGCTACCTATATGCAAAGTAGGTGATCATTTCAAGGCAAGGTATATAGTTGCCATTGGCTGGGCAGTTAAAGCTGAACGTGGCTCACGTGTCAGTTCTGTGTTTCCCTTGTCTCTAATTATTCCCTAATGGTGACAAAATGGTGATCATTCTTATAGAAATATGGGCCGTTGGGGTCCCACACAGTGGCCTACAAGATAAAGTCCTTGCCATGAATGTGCCCCGGGATCCCATATGGGTGCCGGTTCTAACCCTGGTGGTCCCACTTCCCATCCAGCTCCCTGCTTGTGGCCTGGGAAAGCAGTAGAGGATGGCCCAAAGCTTTGGGACCCTGTACCTGCTTGGGAGACCCAGAAGGAGCTCCTGGCTCCTGGCTCTTGGCTCAGATCGGCACAGCTCCAGCTGTTGTGGTCATTTGGGGAGTGAATCATCAGATGGAAGATCTTCTTCTCTGTCCCTCCTCCTCTCTGCATATCTGACTTCACAGTAGAAATAAATAAATCTTAAAAAAAAAAAAAGAAAGAAATGTGGGCCGTTAACGGCCTCTTGGGCTGTTGCATTCTTAACTGGTACACAAAAGCTGTGGGCCACAGCAGCATTGAATCCTGCGCATCATGATCAGAGCAGATGTCAACATGGCATGCTACTTGGGGTATCAACATGAGGATATGTACTTGGGAATGCCACAGGGTAGGCAGATACCTGAAAATCACTGTCCATGGGATTATAAACTGCTTCTGATCCTCTTGTCTCCTCGAGGTGGGAAAGAAGCACTCACCAAGTCAATGGTTACCTAACAAATTCCCAAGATCTGATTAACGTGTCCCAGCGGTGAGAACACATCTGGCACATCAGCTGCACTTGAGTCTACCATTTGGTTAAGTCTGTGGGAGTTTGAAGTCTTTCTCCAGGATCTACCTGCTTTGCACAGGGATCAGATTGGCAAGTAAGCAAGTATATGACAGAGAACACAGACTCTGGATCTTAAGTCTGCAATGGTGGCACAAATCTCTGCTATCCCGCCCTCAGAAAATGAAAATGACTTTGTCAGTTTGTCAGGGCTTGTGTAGGGACAGTTTCAATGGTTTCCATCAGCTTCTGCTACTGTGACTGTGCCTACTTCATAGACCAGGGTCCCAACATTTTGCTCCCATTGCCAGTTCTACCACATCCAGTTATATGCACGAACCCTGGGAAACAGACTCTTGGGTGTCATGAGGCCCTCACAGGTGCTCACTCCAAATGGGGGACTCGATGAAGTTTGGGCCTCTGATACACAGCAACAAATCAGACACAACTGGACTCATCTTCTCTCTTGAACGGAGATAGCACCTCAGCTCCCATGTATGTTTGTTTCCTTTATATTGGTTTGGGCAGTTTCTATCTCCCTTCAGGTTACCTAAGAACTCAGGTGTGATCATGGGAAAGTTCATCAAAGCTACCTCTTCTTTCTTGACCCAAGCTATTGCAGAGACTGCTGAGGCCCAGACTCTGCAAACACATTTTTTGCTTTCCCTGCGGTTCCCTGGTATGTTTCTCTAATTGGGGTTCTGGAAAAGGAGGCTGGAGGGCAGGTTTCTAGCTTCCCATCAATAGAAACTGACAAGGGCCTCTTCATCTGGGCAGCAGTTGATTTCAGTAACAACAGTTGACTTCTAGATTAACTTTAAAAAAGTTGTTGAAAAGGCAGAGTTAAGAGAGAGAGAGAGAGAGAGAGAGATCCTCTATCCACTGGTTCATTCTCCAGATAGCCACAATAGCCAGAGCTGGGCTCTGTGGAAGCCAGGAGCCTTGAATTCTATCCAGGTCTCCCACATGCGTGCAGGGGTCTAAGCACTTGGGCCATATTCTGCTGTTGGATCAAAAGCAGGGAAGTCAGGATGGGATTCAAACTGGCACCACATGGGATGCTAGGATTGCAGGTATAGGCTTAACTTGCCATGCCATAGTGCCAGCCCCCAGGTTCACATCTCTAACACTTTCCAGAAAGCTGCCCTAGAACTCAAGGGAATAGGCTGGGAGGTGAGGTGGGTGCAGCCCTGAGTAGGGACTGTAGAGAGTCATGGGGACCTGGCTGTGGTGGCTACAGGACTGTTAGGAAACTACTAAAGTTTCTGTGGAAATTAAGTAGAATTTCATAAGAATACATTGGAGAGAAGAAAGCTTACAATGATTGTGAAAGCCCTGATGCCACCTTTGTCAACTTGATATCTTCTGATAGTCATGAATTCATTGTGAAAAGAGAACATGGCAAAGATTAGAAACAAAGTCATGTTGAGTGGCTGAGGTCAGCTTGCTGAAAAGGAAACCAGTGAGGTCAGTTTTAGAGAGATCCCTTCCCATGTGCTAACAAATGTATGTGTGTATTTTTTTTTAAGATTTTTTTTTTTTTATTTGAAAGGCAGATAGAAGGAGAGACAGAGAGGAAGATCTTCTATCCGCTGGTTCTTTCCCCAAGCAACCACAATGGTCGGAGCTGAGGCAATTCAAAGCCAGATTCAGGAACTTCTTCTGGGTCTCCCACATGGGTGCAGAATCCAAAGGCTTTGGGCCATTGTCGACTGCTTTTCCTGGCCACAAGCAGGAAGCTGGAAGGAAAGTGGAACAGTTGGGATACGAACCAGCACCCATATGTGATCCCAGGGGATGCAAGATGAGCATTTAGCCAACTAGGCTATTGCACTAGGCTCAGTATATGTGTACTTTACCTGTAAAATTCACTATACTAAAAAGTCCACTGAGCTTTCCGAATGCTCAGTTACACCCAAAATGACACTGGAACTGCTGATGGCTGCAGAATTCCTAGATTCTTAGAGAAAA